GGTTTCGGTAACTAAGCTGTGCCACCTAAGGGAGTCCTCTCTGTGGGGCAGTGCCCACTCTCTCTAGCTAGATCAGAACCCCTACATGGTGGGTGGGGGTGCCCCATATTTAATCTTCTAGCTCTGACCCAAGCTTCTCGCTGTTGTAGCCAGATGCCAAACCAGCCTGACAGACATTTCCCTCAACCAGGATCCCTAACAAGGACATACCTACTCCATGTGAAAGTCTTGGGTGTTTATGCTCAGCCTTTACCACAAAGGCCCAACGCCCAGGTACTGATCTATAGCATACGGGGAATTGCTTTACATGATTTACGCTTTTACATAGGACAATACATATGGCCCCATACTAGGTATCACCTCATCAGCCCCATAGGTATCACCAAGACTAGGAAGCTAATCACTAAATATAATAAGAATGAAAATAGAGTAAATTCTACTTTTGTTTAAACATATATATTTCTATGTATGCATATAGCAGGAAAAAAATCTTAAAATTTTAAAAATATTAAAAGCCATTATGGTGGCTGGATTTGGCTTGACTTCAAAGAATTTTCTCCTTGTTTTTCTTATTTTGTCATTTTCCCACAATGAATACACTCTATTGTACTTTTTAAAAAAATAATGTTGAGGAAGCAATGAAGGGAATCTCTAAACTTAAGTTTCATCTAAGAGAAATATAAAATAGGTAAAATGGAAATCATGAGAATTTGGGGTGGGGGGGCAATCTAAGCCATCTTATAATTCATGAATCGTTAAGGAAAAGGGCACTGGGCAGAGTCAGACTTGTACCCAGAGCTTTGGAGAGCAGATTTCAAGGTGTACGGAAACAAGAAGGGTATGGCTTCAGAGACTTGAAAAGGCAGAATGGCTCAGGCGTTGAGCCCCTGTTGGGTATCTGTCAAGAGGAGGCTAGAGGTCGGGGAGAAAGTGGAACCATTCCATTTTGGGGTGGGTCCCAGGACCAGGGCCTCTGGCTTCTCTCTTTGGGAGAAAAATTCTTAAATGGGAAAAGGTAAAGGAAAGGTGAAGGGGGGACTGAACCCAGGATAGACGATGGACACCAATGCCTTAAAATGGTTTCCAGGCCCAAAGGCCAAACAAACTGCACTCCAGACTGGAAGAGACTTTGCAGCAAACCTGCAAGCTCTGTGAGGAGCCAGAGGCAGCTCTAGGCAAAATCCAGAGTATAGGTAGATCCTGAAATATTACAGACACTGATCCCTGGCAAACTCCTAGGACAAATGATTGAACAGTACTACGATTACTGAGGAAGTAAGGAAGAAGTGATCATAAGGAACAGGCAAAGGGTTGCAAAAAACATGTCATGCTGAACAAATCTGTTTTATGGGGTATGAGTTGGATACGTGAGGAGAACGATACACACTGTGCATTTTCTTTTAACAAGACATTGGACATTTTCATAATACTCTTCTGACCAAGAAGGAAAAACACTGCAGGCAGGATGATAGTCTAGTTTGGGGGCTAAGATGAACGTGCCTCCACGCTGTCCTGAGACCATTGCCGCTCCAAGGTCAACCAGGTGTCTCAAACTAGGGATAGGTTCCAGGACCACAGTCTGCAGGCTTCTCCTTGGAGCCTCAAGCTTTCTTTACCAGAATGTTTTATTCCTGTGTTTTCCCTGTGAAGATCATCTTTTAAAAATGAACAAATACTATAGATCAGTGAGTGACTGCTGCTTAGCCATTTTCCCATTTGCCCCGAGTATACTTGCCAGCAGCTCTTGCAGCTGCAGCATTTACCCTGAGATAACTCAAGGATTACAGTCCTAACCTTACTCTCAAAGTTTGCCATGAAATACCTTGCTTTTGTTATTATTATTTTCATATTGCTCTAGCATATGAAAGACTATATATAGCATATAGTCTTTGGAAAGACATCATTCTATTTATAGCATTCTGTTTTTAGTAGTGGTATTTCCATTTACAAAATACAGTAATTCTCAATTGCTGAAAATGTCAAATCCTAGAAAACGTAGCACTCCTACATGTCATGTTAAATGAACGCTGGCCGCGAGCTGCACTTTTTTTCTAAACAGGAAAAGGGCTAACCGAGATTTGTACATTTCAGGGCCTATGTGTGTGCGTGTTTACAACTATATTGGTGCCAAGTGGCACCACTCTAACTGTGTAGGCTAATTAAGACAACTTAATTCTGTGCATTTAACTCATGATGCATTTGTGCAAAAGTTAAGGGATGCTGGCTCTCCAGAAGCATGGGATGACTGTGTCACTAGGCAGTAGACACTGCACAGTGGGCCTGAGGAACTCAAGAAGCCCAAAGTGTCAAGTCTGTGCCATGTTCATGCTGACAGCAGCAATTCAGGTTCAATCAAATGTCATCCTCCCAGAATTATGTTGTCGATTTACTGGCTTTTTTGTAGGTATTAATTTTATAGGAACTAGATCAATGAGGTGATACACTAATACATGTATGTAATTAAGTTACAGCATTACAATGAAAACAATCCAGATTGACTCAAAAATATTTTTTCTTTACAGCAGTGAGGTTCAAACTATTTAGATGATGAACCACAATTATAAAAACAATTTACATCAAAACCCAGTGTGCACGCACATCCACACATCCACCCACAACTTCCCTTGCCTGTCCTGTGCTCATGCAATAAGAGTTACCGGAGACAAAATATGCCCTTACTACATGTGATAGACTTTGATATTTTTCTACTCTACTTCATATTTTAAAATACTGGTTGTGACTCACTAAATCGAGTTTGTGCCCTAGAGGCTGGTAAATGCACTTCAGAGTAGCCTATCCACCTCCCAAGTTTGGACAACTATGCAAAAACCTAGAAGGCAAATTCAACCTGCAAATGTCTGAAAAGGACTGTAAGCATAATGGGTGTTAGGATTAAAGTTCAAAGAGATCATAAAAAACTGGTATGTACAGGAGGCTTCAGACCTGAGAATTCGGACAATGCCGGCCGCCAGTGGGAAGTCTGGGGCATTCTTCTCAGTCCCACTGCACCATTTGTAAAACAGAGGTAATGTCATCCTCATGAGATTCCAAGGGGTGTCAGTAATTAATGTGAAAAGCCTTGAGCACATAGTGGGTGATCAGTGGTGGTTTAAAATTTAAAGTTGTGTAAATCCTGCACTTAGGTTAAAAAGCAAAAATCACATGCATATATAGGACAGGAAGACAGAGAGCTTAATAGTGAGTCTTATGTGAAAAAGCCCCAGTGGTTTTTGACTCAAAGCTAAATGGGAACCAAAAGAATCTAGATGAGGTTGCCAAAAAAGCTACTGGATTGCATTTCCAAAAGTTCAATCACAGAAGAAAAATGATAGTCCTAGTGTGTTCTGCCCACTTGGACCACATCTGGAGTGTCAGGTTTCATTCTGAGGGACATTCTGAAAGGGGAATTTGCAATGTGAGCTGGTTCGGAGGAGAGCATCAATGGTTGTGATCAGGATGCCAGAGCAGCAATATCCACCAGAGTTTTTATTCCATCTGTGGGTTCAAAGGGCGGGTACCAAGACTTCAGGGTGGAAATTTCGAGACGGCAGATTTGAGATTAATAGAAGGGAAAACTTTCAAAAGATGGAATCGGTTGCTTTTTGAGGTAATGTTCTCCCTTCTCTAGAACCATTTAGCCAGAGGCAAGATGTATCTGAGATGGGATGTCTAGATGGGGTAGGAAGTTGGACTGAAAAATCTTACCTTTAGGATTTTTATAATTCTCAAACCGCATTGCTGATAAAAACAGAAGATGACTTAGTTGCTGGCGGGGCTGGGAACGGAAGGCAGAGGCTCTCTCAGAAGGCTCCCTGGGCTCAGGTTCACTTAGCTAAAATTGGTGGGTGACTCCCTAAGACATCCTCTGTTGCAAAACAGAAGGACACCGGAACAGGACAGAGTACAAGCAAAATGAAAACTGGCCTAGTGCTTCTAACTCATCTCCCTTTCCCATCTTCCTCTCTCCCTCTGCAGTCATTATTACTCTGGACCCAAACTGTTTGGAGATCCGGCTGGGGCCTGAGTGAGTCTTCAGTTAGGAAGCTGCATCAGAATCTACTGAAGTAAGTTGCAGACTGCTGGCGCTGGACCTCGCACTATTTCAATTTGGTTTCATTTTCCTCCCTAGCTAGCTCTTGAAATACTCCCTAGACTGCAAACCAATGTAAGTAGCTCTCCTAGTATCATTCAGAGCTTTGTGGCCCTTACAGACCTGGGCAAACAGAGACCAATCACCCTACCATGGCAGAATTACATCCTGAGATTAAGCATGAAAAGGAAAAGAGAAGCATTTCCAGTTGGTATTTGGAAATGAGAGTGGTTAAGAAGTAGCATAGATATGTAACTGCAAGACTATGATCAAAGTACTTTAAAACTCATTAATTTGGGACTTTATATTTAAAATGTGTAATTTGGACATAAATTGTGCTTAACTTTTCCTTCATACTATTCAAAGTGAGGCTAAATAGTGTATGAAGAATGCAAAAGGACTCTTAGGCAGTTATGTAATTGTTTTTTTACCACTTCTACCATTTTAATCGTACCCATTTGCTTTCCACAGCAGTTTATATGCGGTCGCTGAAGCCTACATTTAGCGACACTGGCAAGTGGGATTACTGTATATTTCTGAAGGAAAAGGCTGCCTTTATTATTCAAACTCTTCATTAATTCAGGCTGGCTAAAACTTTCCCAACAGTACCATGGCTGATGCAGTTTTACAATGATTTACTATACAAGCAATGGTAGTTCTCTTAGGCTCCAAGGAAAACTTCCAAGGACATCAAAGCATCCAGTGCCTGATAGGCCCACACCTGACTTTCCTTTCCCTATACTGGAAGCCAATTTAATTTCAAGACCAGCAGAAGAGCATCCCCTGAGTACCCTAGCTCTTGATGCGCAGATCATTCATCTCCATCTCCATCCCCTCCAGTTACAGCCTTCTTTCTCACTTGCACACTAGCCGTGGCACTGGGACTTTCACCCCAACTCTCTGCTAACACTGCCCTTGCCCAGGTCACCAAGGACTTCCTCACTGCTAAGTCCAAAAGACCCACTTCAGTTCCTGACCTTTGACCATTCCCACCTCCTTGAAATCCCCATGGATGTTCTCCTACCTCTCTGACCACCTCTTCCCCCTTGTGGGCGCCTCTTCTTTTTGCCACCCCTTAAATACTGATGTTTCTCAACATCTGTTCTTCTCAGCTAATACCTGTTCCATGGGTGCCTGTGCCCATGGAACTCACATGGCTTTGGGTACCTTCCATAGGCTGATGACTCCCAGGTCTGTGTGTGGCCCAGGTCTCTCCTAAGTGCAGACCAGTACATCTAGCCCGCTGTGGGCCTTCCAGTTGGGCGGCCTACACAACTTCCAACACTGAGCTGAAACCTTTGCCCATTCTCTCCCCAGCTTTCTCATCCCCAGCCACCAGGGGCCCTCTTCCAGATTCTTAAAGAACCTTCATCTCTGCCGCTGCCCTTTCCTTGCTAAGAGCTCTTTCTTCTCTTTACTAGCTAACACTTACTCACTCACCCTCAGGACTCAGCCTGTTTTTTTTTTCCCCCCAGCAAAATTTGAGAGCCCACTTTGTAACAGGCATGTCATTTCCTCAGAGAAGCCTTCTAGGATCCCTGAGATGAGGTTAATTTCTCTGGTAACACTCACTACCCATTAAATAATCATGGGCTAAATGTCTCTCTATATACATATTCTTGGGAAGGCCCCCCAGGGAGACCAGGTCTTTCACTGCCGAACTGCTACACCAAGCCTGGTACAGAGCACAGCAGCCTTTCAGTGCCTGCAGGTTGAGTGAATGTCTTTAGTTAAACCAGCCTCTCTTCTGGCGTTTCACGAGACCTGAGCATCATCCTCATCTCCAATCAATCATCAAGTTCTCATGATTCTACCTAAATATAAACCTCTCTCCAGTCTGTCTACTCATTGCTCCTCAACATCATCACCATTATCCTATCATTAACTACCCTGAGTTCAGCCTGAAATACTGCCCAAAGCCTTCAAAAATGGCTTCAAGCTGACCTTGCCCCATCCCATCCAGCCTTCACAATCTGGTGAGAATCTTTTTATCATGCAAATCCTATCTAGCCACTATCCTGATTACACTCTTCAAGAGCTTCCAGTAGATCTTATGATAGGCTTGCAGAGGCATAAACAATCTGACCCCTCCCTCCCCCTTCCCCCTCTACCTCTCTTGCCCTCCAACTTTCCTGAGGCACACTTTAGTTTTTTCTATTTCTGGAACTACCACATGTGTTCTCTCACTTGGAGCCTAAGCATGCTCTCTTCCATTTGTCTATTTCCAGTCCTCCTTCAGAGCTCATTTATCATTCACTTACTCAGCGACACCTTCCTGAGCTCTTCCCTCCCACCCCCACAAGGTGTGGGGCAAGTGCCCCTGCTATAGGCCAGGTAGGGGCTGGGCCCCACAGCACCCTTCACAGCACTTTCGCCCACCATACGGGATGGAGTGTGTCTCTGCCCTAGGGGTTTTAACACGGGCTGACTCAGGGAACACCATATAACAGGAAGAGGCCACAGTGGGACCCCAAAGCCCTGGCCATCAGACTAGGGGTTGGTACCACTGGTTTTTCACTTGAGAACACTACTCTTGAGACAGGGAATAAGAGAGAAAAGAAACCTAAAGAAATACCACACATTAGAAGCTCTTTTCTTTCTGGGAAAGAAATTGGCTCAAACTTCATAGCCAGGCCTTGTGGGTACTCAGCTTTTTTTTTTTTTCCCCCCCTCATGAGTTCCTACCATCCTAGCTATGGCATTCTTGGCCTCCTGCTATGGTATTTCCTCTGGAGGAATTTCACTCTGCACAAACAGTCCTGCTGCCTATTTTGGTCAGCTCAGCTGGGCCTAAAGCCAACAAAACAGTTTCTAAGCCTAGTCTTTCCCAGTTGCCTAGCCTGGAAGTATTCAGAGCTGGTAAGGGAAAAGCAAGCCAGGCTGGTTTTAGACAACAAAGTTGGATCTCAAAGGGAGCTGATAAATGGGCTAAGGGAACTGGCTTGTGAATGACTCCAAATTGCACTGAGCATTTCTGAGAAGCAAATTTCCAGCAATCATAATAACTATATAAAACAAGCTCGAAAACAACAAAAGGAATTTCTTTGACTCTTATTAAATAAGAACAACTCTGGGTAGTGCCTTGCTAATGTCACAGACCAAAGGAAGAAGTAAAGAAGGGAGACCTTGGCTCTACTCACACCTAACTGAGCTGTCCATTCTTTCCTACTCCCAACTTTGACCGCAGCCTCAGCCCATGACCTTGATGTATGTCCACAATTTCATCAAGAAATTAAATTCCCTTCATTAGAGAAGATCCATTATTTCTTTTTTTTCAAGCAGAACTCATTGTAAGAGACACCTATATTTGCTGTCCCTAATTTCTCTCCTGCCAGTCTTTCTTGAACCTGCACTAACCAGGCTGCCCACTCCCCATCCACACCACAAAAACTGCTCATGTCACCGGTGACCTCTAATGGTTCATTCTTAGACCTCATCTTATGTGTTGATCTGGCAGTTGACCCCTCTTCCTCCTTGAAACACTTTCTTGACTTGGCTTCAGGACCCACTTGCCAAGTGGGCTTCCTACCTCTCGGGCTACTTCTAAGACTTCTTTGCTGGGCCCTCCCTCCTCTCAAATTCTAAATGGTTGGGCTGCTCCAGGGCTCAGCCTTGGAACCTGTTTTTCTTCTGTCTACACCTATTTCCTGGGTGACTTCCTGCAGTCTAGTCACTTTAAAAACCTATAACATATAGGTTCTATATAATGATAAGTTCAAGACTTGTATCTTCAGACTTGTATCTCCGACTGCCTACTGAAGTCTCCACTTGAATGTATTAATAAATATCTCAAATCTAACTAGCCTCAAACAGGGCTAATGATATCATTCCAATTCTGTGCCTCCTTCAAACTTCCCCACTGCAGTGAATGGAACTCCAGTCCTTCAATTGCTCAGCCCAAAACCTTGGGAGTCATCCTCAACCCTTTTTTTCCACACTCTGCATTTCAGTCAGCAAACACAGCTCTACCTTCAAAGTATATTTGGAATCTGATTGATTGCTTCCACCACTACCTTTTGTTATCACTCAGGTTGAGGTCCCCATCATCTCTGCCTTGATAACTGCAAAGGCCTCCTTCCTGGCTGGGCTTCTGACCTTGTTCCAGTCAGTCTATTCTCAACAAGCATCCAGTGAGATACATCAAACTTAAATCATGACATTATTTCTCTGCTCTCATTCAAAGTAAGAGCCCCGCAAAAGCATCTATCTCCCATTTAAAGAGCCCAAGTCCCCACAGAGACACATAGGGCCCTATGTGACTTGTCTCCTGTGACCTCTTTGACCTGTCCCCTATCACTGTTTCAGCCATAAGGGTCTGCCTCTCTGTTGTTCCTGAACTTGCCAGGTATGGTCCCTTCTCAGGGCCTTTGCACTTGAGGTTCTCTCTGCTTGAGTGCTCACCCTCTCTCTGTCTCTCATGTCAGATTGAGCATGGCTCAATCTCTCCCCTTCTTCATGATTTTACTCAAATGTTCCTTTCTCATGGAGACCTTCCCTAACTGCCCTATATAAACTGCACCTTCACATTCTTCCTATCCTTTGTTCTATTTTTCTCCTTAGCACTTTATTGTCTAATATCTACTAGTTACGATTTATTGTCTCCTACTAAGATGGACTTCTGCCTTCCCCACTGATATACTTCTCTACTTGGCACAGAGTACATGCTCAATATATATTTGTTGAATGGATGAATGAATCCTGGATGTTGCAGAGTGGGAGAGCCTAAATGAAGTTTAAGAACCAAAGGAGAAAACCTACAGATTTGCATATCCTGGCACTCAGCTGGGATTTGCTCACTAGGTCAACTCAGCTAATCCAGTCCCAGATGGAACTCTCTCTCAAACCCACCAGTCATCTCACACAGGATGAACGCCTGTGCGTGGGCCAGTTCATCCTGCTCCTGGACAAATATCACAAAGCACACACATCACCACACACCAGGAAATACATTTCAATGCTTCTTTCAATTAACACATATTGGGGGGAAGTTCTTTTCTGAGTTAAGATAATCAGGATATCTGCTATATGAATACCTCTTATCCGTCTCCATCCTGAATTCCTCTCCCCAAAATGTAACTGTGTCATTAGCTAGTATGCATAATGCCTGGGTCACACACCATCATATTAGAAGGGAATCTGGAGAACTGAGTGGGGACATGGAACAGCTGGGGATAGTGAGAACTCTTCATTCTGACAGAAGCAGTCCGAGAAAATAGTGTAAGGAATACTGGGCCTCAGAATTATCTTGGAGAACAAGAGGATAAAGGAATCCAAATTATACCTCCCCCCCTCCACACCCCTAAAGAATATCATTATGTAAAAACACATGTTCTCTCTGCTTTGGCACATTTATTTCTGAGTCAATCCCTGGGTTATGATCGGCTTGAAATGAGTGATGACTTCATTTCCCCAGGGCAAGAGAGGGGTGGCTTACCAATTACTTTTCTGAAGGCTGGGAAATGTTTTGGTCTGTTTTTAGGCTAATCTGAGACTTCCAATTAGACACAGACCAAAAGCAGAAATCTTCTACTTACAATCACACGGCCCTGCCTGTTGTCTCTTATTCACTGTTCAGTCTATGAGGGGACACTTTGTGATTCCACCAAGTCCCATAGGAGAGGTAACAAATACCTCAAAGAGGAAGCTCTAGAAAGAGGACATTCGAGGGCCAGTGCCTACTGGTTCCTGAGCCATTTTCACCCCCTGGCTGAGATGAAAGAGGGCATCTAACAGTCTAGGGACAAACTTATCTTAGAGCCCTTAGCAATCTCAAGGGCCCTTTAAGCCCTTGTCAAAAACAATAGTCACCCAAGCTAAACCTCTTCATTGTGATGTACTCAGGCTTCTGGCTAGGTACAGCTCACAATTTTGATGTTGAAACAAATTGTAGCTAAGGAATGAGATGTCCAAAGGAAGGATTCAAACAGTTGGGTCTGTAAGCATGCTCCTCCCATGACACAAACAGCCTTGACATCTCCACGCTGCTCAGAGCAACACTACTCACCGGGGCAAACTGAGAAACATCTGGGCACTTAGCCCTTTCATACTCCCTTGCTCCTGAGCACAGCCCACCCAGATGAGAAGCACAGTAATCTCCTGTGCCAGTGGCTGCCTCGGAGCATCTGGAAAGAGCGCTTCCTAGACAGGAAGTGGAAGCTGCGGCTTTCTCCAGGCTATGAGCACTGACTTTGAGCTTGCTTCTGGGCTCTCTCTTCAGCAGTAGAAAAATCAGTTTTCCATTCTGGAATCCTGTCAACTGCAACAAATCCACCAGTACCACCTGGAAGCATCTTCTCAAGGGTACTCTCTAATCCTGTTCCTACTTAGGCTGACAATGCCCTTGAGTCAGTAATGTCTCATGTTTTCACTTTCTTTCTCCCCAGTTCCAATAGATAATTGACAGAAAAGTGAGACTCCCTACCCTGAGGTCTCCTAAGAGAATGCTGCCAGCCAGAAAAAGATATGCTGATGACTGAGGAAGAACTTCTTAGAGAGACTTTCAACTGCATTTCAGAAATATAAAAATCTAAATGCGGACTCTATGAAGGAAGAAATGAGGAGAAAGCTTTTTTCCTCCTTCCTTCAACATGTCTAGAAGTCACACAAGAGTTGTATGTGGATCTAAAACAAAAGCAAGCAAAAACCAAACAAGCAAAAATATCAACAAATGTATTCCATAATTCTGTCCATTTCTCAACCCAGCTTGTACTGGTGAACTTGCTGTGAAGAAGTTCAGAAATTAGTTAAACTATACTAAGGGACACTCCAGATGTATCACCCAATGAACTCATAAGAAAATACTGAAGCTTCTTCATACAGATTTTACTCCAAGTCTGCAGCCCACAAGACTTCAGATTGGACCACGTAATTACTTAAACACAGATGTGTTCATACCACTACATCTCTATAAACTTTTTAATATTCTACCCACCCTTTAAAGCAACGTTTTCTCTGCACATCTTTCATTCTGTGGCCATTGCCCACCCCCTCCAAAACAATTCCTAAATTTTTCAGTCTCTGAAAGAGAGGCTTCTAATTTGTGTGTGTACAGAGAACAGAGGGAGTGAAGTCTTAGAAAAACATGCTACATTTCTGTCACAGAAATGAGGGCGAGTAAGGTCTAGAAGACTTCTGAACCCAAGTCAATAATGGGGTCTAGTAGTTGGGTGCAACAAGCTTACAATGTCTTCACAGGGTTCTAGGTGCTTAAAGTAAGCTTGAGAATTTTCACATACCTATGGCAAAGGCCTGTTCAGGCTACAAGGGACCCTGTAACTTCTCCAAAAAAAAAAAAAATGCTATTAATCAACAAAAGAACTCGAAGGTTCAAGGCCAAGATATCAAAATGAACTACCCTATCTGCTGTTATACCATGAGGGTCCTTACCCAGACATTTGCCAAAACCTTCTTACATCTTCTCCTCTCTTCTACAGGCCTCCAGAGGCCCAAACTTTAATAGAATCTGAGGGGTTGCGGGGAGCTGGCCAGTCTATATGCCATTGACAGTGATGCCAAACTCTTCCTCTTAGAACCAGTTCTCCCTGCTAGGCAGTCAGGTGACAATCCAATTATGAATTAACTCTACTTGGATCTCCATGGCAAAGACTGTCTTAACAGCCTAGCTCGGGGAGATCATAACTATGTCAGACTAGCTTTTTTTTTTCCTTGTTGTTGCTGCTCTTAAACAAAGAGGTTAAGCCTCTGTACAACCAAGTGTTAGAGCCAGAATTAGAAAACTTACCAATCGCCCTAGCCAAAGAAAATCCATTTCCAACAGGCATTAATGCCTATTAGAAGCCACTGAACACTGATATCATCAGCCCAATTCATAGGCTGTCTGACAGATTTGCCCCCTTCATCACACACAAGAGTTTAAAATAAAACAAGTACTTGCAGTTATATTCATTATTGCAGACAAAATATTTGTGTTAGTAATTAAAATTACTTCTATAATGTGGACTCCACTATCATTCCCTTCACAGCCTCTCTGTGAACTGGCCACACCCTAAACTTCCTAGCTCTAAAAATATTAACCAAAATACCAACTCAACACTGAGCCCTCTACTATGATACTTAATGCATTCTGAGGTACAGCATGAGAGTTTTAGACAGTGCATGCCAGTACCTTGAAACAGTCATCACCCTTCTATCTGCAATAAAATCGGTGTAATGGGGGACCACGGACCAATTCATTGCTTAAAGTAGATCTAGTGGCTCCTCCCTATCTCCAGGAACAACATATAAATGAGCAAGAAGTAACCTCAGAAGAAGAAACTAAGTTCCGGGAAATGTACACAGAGAAAAGCCAGACTGTGTTTCTCTGGATCAAGTTAATTAAGAAACACTGAAACAAAACAGTATATTGTAATCAAAACCAAGGAATGCAGTGAAGATAGGTTTCTCAATTGCCCAGAGAAGACACAGTTCCTTTTCAACTAAAATTAGAAAGCCACCAGGAACATAAGACAAAAAGCAGGAGTAAGAGGAGATCCTTAAGTCAGCAATGGGGATAGAGGTGGGGTGGAAGAAAATAAATATCCGTTTTGTTTTATTCTGTTCATCCCGAAGGTTTGTGCCTGGCCTTTGGGGTTCAGCAGGTAACAGGCTAGGAGCTCTGTCAACAAGTTCTTAACCGTCTCACAGTTCTGCTAAGAGCTGGAGGCTCAAGGATTCAAGTGAACACTAAAGGTTTTTGCCCACTTGCAGTCTAAGACGAGAGGTCATCAGCCTAGGGAGTGCCCTCGTGTCCTGATACCATCTCTCGACTGGGATACATTAGTAACCAGGTTGGTTTCTATGGGCCCAGCAATGCCCATGTATGTGGTTGGTGCTGTCTGAATTTCAAGCATTCCTCTGCCCCTCTCTGCACTCGGGAGAGCCCTGACTCGCTGGTGGGCACCTAGAGTTAGAGTAGAGAGTCCCCCCGAACACACAGTGAAAGCGCGAGGAGCGTTGGCCACCTCCTCGGAGCAGACCCAGGCACGACCCACTGGCCGGACAGCTCTGAGGCCGGTCGGCGACTCCGCGGAGGAGGTTGTGGCGGGGTGGGG